CAGTGGGGGGGGCGGGGTAAGCGCAGAGGGTGGGGTGGGAACCGGGTGGAGGGGAGCTATGGGGGGGAAAAAAGAGGGACAACTGTAATAATCTGAACAATAAAGATTTAATTTAAAAAAATAAAAATAAATAAAAGAGTATCATCACAAGGTAAAAAAAAAAAAGAAAAGAAAAGAAACGAATTTGACCACATCTCACCACCTTCTTTGCTATACCCTTATCCAAGATTCCACCGTCTTTCTCTGGGACCACTGCAGCAACCTCTATCTGGTATCCCTACTCTCACCTTCGCCTGTTGACTCACTAATTTATCCCTAACATGTTAAAGCTGCTTAATAGATAGTTTTTTTTTTAGTAGGTAGTTTTTTGAATGAATGAATGAACATGTAAATACTTTCTTTTTTAAAATATTTTTATTAATTTGAGAGAGGGAGAGAGAGACAGAAACATCAATAATGAGAGAGAATCATTGATCAGCTGCCTCCTGCACGCCCTACACTGGGGATCGAGCCTGCAATCCAGGCATGTGCCCTGATAGGGAATCGAACCGTGACCTCCTGGTTCATAGGTCGACGCTCAACCACTGAGGCAAGCCGGCCGGGCCCATGTAATTTCTTTCAAACTATTTAGTTTGGTATTAATGGGTCCTGCTTTGATGGACAAAAGAAAAAAAATGCTTTATAATGTGATGGTTTTTCCCTGAAGTCAGTATTGCCCTTAATGCCCTTAGTGAGGGGAATTTCTGAACTCACTACCCAATTCAGTCTTCATCCCCATAGGAAACTCGCAGTCTAAGGATAATTTTCCCGCTGACCAAGACAACGTTTAGAACACAGGTGGGGCAATATTAAGTTTACAGTTCTGCACACATGAAACACAGAGTTTATTCTTGTATTATTATTGATTAGTATATTATTTTCCATATGAACAACTGTAAACCTCCTGTTACCCTACCCTGTATATTGCTTGCATAATTTGGTAAGAGCTAAGTAAATGTTACTGCCTACTTTTTGGTAGTTATGGTTTTAACTTAGTAATTTTACATACTTAAATGTATGTTTAAAAATTTGGACATTAGTTAATATGGCTGTTTTCTAGTTTTTAACTGTATTATCATTAATATTCAATATAATTTTGGCACAAATCCATACTAGCTGAGTCTGTAGAATCAACTTAATACTTGTGTCCTTTTTAGGTCCCCCGCAATGTCTGGAGGAATTTTTGCTATAAGTCGGCATTATTTTAATGAGATTGGACAGTACGACAAGGATATGAACCTCTGGGGAGCAGAAAATCTGGAACTTTCACTAAGGGTAATTCAGATTTTGTGGGTTTTTTTTAAATAGTTACCTTTGTACATACAAAGTGAAATCAAACTTTAAGTCATGTAATCTGTTGTGGCAATTATGCCATTATTCTACTTGAGTATCTGGTATCCCATGAAATATATAATTTGTGGGACTCCTTGCAAAAAATTGAAAACATTTCATAAAATATCAGACTTTCCTACCATATGTTATTTCCAGTGTATGGCATATCAAATTAATAGACTATTTCAATCTATTGTGGAATCTCTTTTTTATTCTACTCATTGTCTTGGTAGTTATAGTGTGGTGGAAATAACACAGGATGAGGAGGTAGGGGACCTGGATGCCACTAAATATATAAACTATCTTTGGTCTTAGTTTCTCCAGCTGTAAAATGAGAGGGTGTCTGAGTTGTCTCCTAACTCTTGAATCCTGGGTACTTGCTACCACACGGATGAAACTTGAGAACATTATGGTAAGTGGAAGGAGCCAGTCACAAAGCCACTTATATCTATGAGTCCATTCATATGAAGTGGCTAGAATAAGTGAATCCATTAAAACAGAAAGTAGATTCGTGGTTGCCAGGGGCTGGAGGAAGGAGTCTGAGTGCTAGTGGGTGCCAAGTCTCTTTAAGGAAGGTACAAATGTTCTGGAATTAATGGCAATGGTGGCACAATCTTGAAGAAATACTGAAAATCATGAAAGTCCATCCTTTAAAAGAGTGATTTCTTGTAGTGTGTGAATTATATCTCAATTATTAAAAATAGATTCAACTTTTAAAAAATCCTGTGCTATTAGACCTGAGAATTAGTCCTGGCTCTACCACTGAAAGGTCCTTGGCAAGTCATTAATTTTTCTAGTCTCAGTTTCCTCACCTGTTAAGTAGGAATAAATATTAATGCCATTCTCAGAATTTTGTGAGATTGAATGAAATAACTGGGGTAGAGAATAAAGTACAAAGTAGATATTCCTAGAGAGAGAGTCTAAAAAATATATAAGGTACTATTCAAACATTTATTGTATGTTTATCATACGTATTTGTTTTTGACCAGATTCTAAGAGATTTTTATGATGGACTGGTACATCAAAGACTAAGCTGTGAGCTCACTATTACTCCTCTTCACATATCCCCTCACTTTTCTCTATCTTGTCTTTTTGCCCAACCAAAAAAGTTGGTGTGGAGCAAACAGCTTAATTGATGAATTTATATGAGTTGATTAATAAGTGAGAGCCACTACCATTCCAGTTTAAATTTTGCCATGTGTTCTTTATACTCGATGAAGTCCTCTGCAGAGATCACACTTTGAATTTCATGTTATCTTAGCATGTACTAATTGTTTACTATATTTCTTTTCCGTGTTTTTTTTCCAACGATTTTTTTCTGTTTTGGATTTTACCTTGCTCTTCCTTCTTTTGGCTGGTTACTTCATTCACTTGTTTTAAAAGCTATTTTAAGCGCAGACTTATTTCATAAATCTTCAGGCACTTTATTATGAATATAGGAATATCTAGAGCAGTGTATTTTCTTCCAAGCCCTTATTGGCAGCATCCTGTTACTTTATTATTTTCATTGATTGTTCCCACTCGTGTCTTCCCTTCTGATCAGCCAGTGTTTTATAACACCCATGCCTTTGCCACTTTTATTTGTCTGGTTGATCATTCCTTTTCATTACATTGCTCTGAGAATACAGTATATGGACTTTCCCCCTAAAATCAATTTTGTGAATGATACATTCATATTTGAAAAGTAAGTATATTCCTTTTTCTGGCTCTATATTCCCTCCATATAGTGAAGAACCGCGAACTTATTATTTAAATGTATTAACTCTCCTTGCTTTGATATTTTCAACCAACCCATTCCTAATGGCCCCTTCCTATCCTGTAGGTATCCTTGGGTTTTGCATACACAAACGAAAAACGAGCAAATAGCTAAAGCGCCGTGGTGACACTAGCAGTGGTCTCTAACCCAGAGAAGTAACCTTGTCTCTCCTGAGAAAAGATAGTCTATGCCTGCGTATACTTCTTCATTTCTTGCTTCCTCTTCAATCCCGTAAACCATGGGGCCTTCAGCATCCTGTGACATCATCCCAGGAATTGTCACCAGCTTACTATAGATGTCCCTAGTGGGTGGCTTTTGGTCTTCTCTAGACTTGAGGTTCCTGCAGCACTTGGCACTATAGACCAGTCTTTTCCAGAAGTTTTCTTGGCTTTTAGGACAGCATTTCTGGTTCCCCTCCCATGGCCTGGTGATCCTCAGTTTCCTCCACGGGAGATCCTCCTCTGTGCATCTCTTTAACGTGAGTGTTCCCAAGACTGTTCTTGTCAACTCTGTCTTTACACCTCGTTGGCCTCAGAGCTGACCTCTGCCACTTCACACCCTGTGAAGCCACGCCGGTGTTAACATAGTGTAACATTTTCTTATATTGTTTGAGAATATCATTTTTTCATATATTTTTATTGATTTCAGAGAGAAGGGAGAGGGAGAGAGAGAGAGAAACATCAATGATGAGAGAAAATCATTGATCAGCTGCCTCCTGCACACCCCACACTGGGGATCTAGCCCACAACCCGGGCATGTGCCCTGACCGGGAATTGAACTGTGACCTCCTGGTTCATAGGTCGATGCTCAACCACTGAGCCATGCCAGCTGGGTGAGAATATTAACTTTTTAAAGGTATCTTTATTGTTCAAAGTATTACATATGTCCCCCTTTTCCCCCTTTGATCCCTCCACTCTGCATCCCCTCCACAGGCCTACGGCACTATTGTCTGTGTCCATGGGTTATGCATAAATGCATATAAGTTCTTTGGTTAATCTCTTCCTGCCACCCCCTTCCCCCCCCCCACACACACCTTCCCTCTGAGATCCATCAGTCTATTGCATGTCTCCATGTCTCTGGATCTACTTTGTTCATCAGTTAATTTTGTTCATTAGATTCCACATATGAGTGAGATCATGTGATACTTACCGTTCTCTGACTGACTTATTTCACTTAGCACAATAATCTCCAGGTCCCTCCATGCTGTGTCAAAGTGTAAGAGATCCTTCTTTTTTACAGCTGCATATTATTCCATTGTGGAGAATATTTTAAGACAAATTTGTCATGCCACTCTTCACACATAATCAGCCTCAGAACTGGTCATATATAAGAGAAGCAGAATCACCTAGTATTCAGAATGCTGGTGATGGGGCTGGGTTTCCGGCATTTGAATCCTGTACTCTGCTACTTACCAGCCCTGTGTCACTGGACAAACTGCTTAACCAATCTCTGTATTAGTTTCTCCATCTGTAAAATGGGGATAACACAATATCTACATTATAGGGTTGTTGTGAAGATTGAATGAAATAAGAAACTTAATAAACGTGAGCTGATGTTATGTTTGTAAAAAAAATTCACTAGTTGCCTGTTACTAGCAAACACACATGATTATGTTTTCTGTTTTTCTTATGTCTAGATCTGGATGTGTGGAGGCCAGCTCTTTATACTGCCCTGCTCTCGAGTAGGACATGTTGATAGACATATTGTCCAAAATGTAACCCAAGTTCTCAAAGCCCTGAGATATAACAACCTCAGACTAGTACACGTCTGGCTGGATGAATACAAGGTAAAGGATATGTCTGTGCTTTGAACAGATGAACGTACACAGTGGGACTTGCTCTGAAGAAGTCTTCTACTGCCTTTCCAGACAGCAAGTTTTGTTCTTTCCTCTGTTTTCCTTAAGTTAGCAGTAGCCCTCCCACCGCTCAGCCACTCATCTCCAGACCCTGTTCTCAATTGTTCATTCGAAGCTGCTACACTTGCACCTGACTTTTAATTTCTAGGGAAACTCGAGTTTCTCAGAAGGGAATCAACCAACATAAGGAGTATTTTATTTATTTACTAGAGGCCTGGTGCACGAAATTCATGCACAGGTAGGGTCCCTAGGCCTGACTGGTGATCAGGGCCAATTGGGGCCTTCTGGCTGCTGGCCGGGGCCTTTATTCTGGTTGCTGGTGGGGGCCTCCCTTCCCCAGCTGCCAGCCAGGGCCTTCCTTCATTCTGTGCTGCCCCCTGATGGTCAGCACACATTATAGCGAGTGATTGAACTCCCAGTCTCCCGGTCGAACTCCCAAGGGGACACTTTGCATATTAGGCTTTTATATATATATACTAGAGGCCCGTTGCATGAAGAGATTCGTGCAATAGGCCTTCCTTACCCTGGCTGCCAGCACCAGTTTTCCTCCAGCACCCAGGACTCAGGCCTTCGCTCCAACCGCAGCAGAGAAGGCAAGCCTTGAGGCTTCTCCACTCTGGCCGCAGCGGAGAAGCCAAGCTTCTTCAGTCTTCAGTCGTCTTCAGTCTTCACTCTGCACCTTTATATGCAAATTAACTGCCATCTTTGTTGGGTTAATTTGCATACTCATCCTGATTGGCTGGTGGGTGTAGCAGAGTGACACCAATTTGCATGTTTCTCTTATTAGTGTAGATATATGTTTGTTTGTTTAGCTTAGGTCTTTTGGCCCCTTCCCCCGCAAGGACTCCCCCTCTGAAGCAAATACCTCTCCCTGCTCCCATCCGCACAGGCCACTCTTAGATCTCTTCTCCCACGACTAAGTTCCCAATTATGTGGCTGCTGCTGATCTGGGGACTATGCAAGTCTTTTGTGTTTGTTTTTTCAATCCTCACCCAAGGATATGTTTTTATTGATTTTATAGAGGGAGGAAGGGAGAGAGAAAAGAAGAGAAACACTGATGTGAGAGAGAAACATTGACTGGTTGCCTCCCGTATGTACCCTGCTCCGGAATAGAAATTGCAACCTTTTGGTGTATGGGATGATGCTCCAACTGACTGAGCCCCTGGGTCAGGGCCATGTAGATCTCCTTCATCTTTTCTATAAACAGTCAAATATTTCTATACAAAAAAAAACAACAAAAAAAAACACAAAGATTTTTTTTTTTATACCAAAGCCAAGCCCCTTCATGTGTGCATGTCCCCAAGTTTAAGCCTCTGCCAGGACCTAAATGGGTGCACGTACAGAGAACTGTAGTGTGGCTCCATTTCAATTCAAAAGTCGTTCATCCAGAATCCCTGCACAACAGACATGGACAGTAACCTCACCAAGACTTCCCTTCAGATACATGGGTAGAAATGTGTAAGAATCTCTCTGTGATATTATATGCCCTGGTCTTGATCTAATATTTCTTTAATTTATTATTTAAAGTTATAAAAGTAATAATACTCAATTTCTTTAGCAATCAGGGCAATGTGAATTAAAACCTCAGGCAGAGCCCTGGCCAGTGTGGTTCAGTGGTTGGAGCATTATTCCATACACTGAAAGATTACAGATTCAATTCCCAGTTGGGGCACATGCCCAGGTTGTGGCTTCTATCCCTGGTTGGGGTGTGTATGGGAGGCAACTGATAGATGTTTCTCTCTCACAATGATGTTTCTCTCTCTCTCCCTCTCCCTTCCTCTCTCTCTAAAATCAATGAAGAACATTTCCTCGGGTGAGGATTAAAAACAACAATTCAGGGAGATATTTATCATTTAAAATCTGACAGGACCAAGTGTTAGCAAGCATCAGGAATCCTCAGACACGGATGGTGGGAGTGCTTATTATCACAAGCTCACTTTAGAAAACAGTTGGGCAATATTAAGTAAAAGATATGAATATCCCATGATCCAACAGTTCCAGTCTACAGAAATGAGTGCTTTTGTGCACCAGAACACATAATAAGAATGTTTATAAACAGCACTGTTTATTAGCCTCAAATGAATACAGCACAAATACTCATCAAAAGTAGAATGGATAAATATGATATATTTAATTGCTTTGGTAGCGGAAATTAACCAACAGTAGATACAACAGTATAGGTAAATCTTAAAGACATAACGGCGAACAAAAGCAGCCAAATACAGTAAAATATAGTGTATTTTTCTATAACTTAAAATGGGTAAAATTAAACCGTATAATCTATATATGTATATTTAGATACCAAAGCTAGAAAGAAAAGCAAAGAAGTGACTCCATAATCAAGAAGGCATTGAAAACTAAGAGAAAGGATGCCAACCAGGAAGGGGGAGGCCAGGGGCTTCTGGGATGCGAGTTATGTTCTATTTCTTGACCTAGTCAGCATTACCAACGTTGATTTTTCAATAATCCATTATGTTGCACATTCATGTTTTATGAACTTTTTGCATGTATTATATTTCCTGATTTTTAAAAAATCATTTTTTAAAAAGTAAAACATAATTCATTCTAAAAAGGCACTTAGTACTAAAAAGTATGAAGTAAAATGTAAGATTTCTAAGCCCAGAGTTCTACCCCTGAAGTAATCTCTAAATTATACTGCTTATAGTTTCTTGGTAACCATGTGCTATGATTGTTGATTTCTTTTCTGTGAACTCTGATCACAGATTTAAATAGTCGACTTGAACACAGCTAGGATTGAGTTTACTGAATATCACAGAAGATATAGTGACAAAAGTTCATCTAACTTAAAAAGAATATGATGTTTGGCATACTCACGGGACTGTATGACACAGCACACTGGAAACCTTAGTGAGTGACATTGGATAAGAGAAGGCTTCAAACAGGGAGATATTGCCTAAGATCTCTGTTTTCACTCCAAAATGATGACACCCCTCCCCCACCCTTAGCTTCACTCACCCCATGCATCAACCAGCCTGGGGAACTAACTAGGCAGTGACAAGAGAAGATGGCAAAGACCTCCAGTGGCCAAGAGTCCCTGGGAGAATCCAACATGGCATGCCCATAATATGCTAATTTAAATAAGCAAGTTCCTCTCATTCAACAATATTACTATACTGTATGCTGGGCACTGGGAATACACATATGAAAGTATAAGGAGGCTTTGGTCTACTTAGAATACTACTTTTAATATGAAGCAGGTTGAGTGCATTAGATATTCATCCTTGGTGCTTCCTTCAGAGAGCGTAAAAGACTAACAGGTGTGGTAATAATAGTGGCCGATACTGACGTGAGGCTATGTGCTAGCTTTCATCTCCCCAGGGCTTTGCGTGTATTAAAGTGTTCAGTCCTCACAACAACCTCATGAGGGTAAGGGCCAAGGTTACCTAGTTAATAAGTAGCACAACCGACCAACATTTAAACTCAGTTGTCTTCCTCCAGAGTCTATTTGCCCTTAGCTACCACATCGTCCCCATTTCTGAACCCAAGGAAGTACTGATTGGAATGGGGCAGTGAGGGATTTTTGTCCTTCAGTATCACTGAGAGAGTAAGAGAGAGGGGATATACCCTACCTCTGCCATGGTCCATCATAGCACATATTGTGCATACGTGTGGGGTAAGTCCCAGATTGTGTGTGTGTCCCTCCCTATACAGAGGAAGTTAGAAGGTATTTTTTAAAAAATTTTTTTAAGTTCTTGTGATGTCATGATTTGATGACCAGAGATTGGCTTGGTTTAATGAAACTCTTTATTTCCATGTAGGAGCAGTTTTTCTTACAAAGACCTGATCTGAAATCCATCCGCTATGGAAACATTAGTGAGCGTGTTGAATTAAGGAGACGATTGGGCTGCAAGTCATTTCAGTGGTACCTGGATACTGTCTTCCCAGAACTGGAGCCATCTCTTGAAATGAAAGCAAATAATTTTCATTAATGAAGGTTAAAAAGTCCCCTCGGCCTTTAACATAGAGAAGAGCACGAGTTTGGAACATTGCGACATTATATGAAATACAGCCAGAGTGGCCTACAACAGAACTGTCCTTGCTCCTTTCGTGATAGTCCTTAAGACCTTGTAACTCATTTGCCACTAAATTTCTGGGGTGCAAGACCTTGAACATTGGAAGTGCACGCTGTCAATTAGCTGAGACTCTATCACATAATTCTCTCCAATTGTTTGCTAAACTCACTTGGTCCTGGTCGCCTTTGGAGCCTTTGCCAACTCTATTCCTACTCCAGAAAGACGGCCTGACCCAATGGTCTTCGCAGAGAGATACTCACAGAGAGCCTTGGTTGGTAATATCCACTTTGGTTCAACTCCTTTCTTGCTGCCAACATCGATAATGGCATTGGCACCTTGCTTAGTTGGATTCCTGAGCTTCTGATGTCCAGTCCATTTGCCTGGGTGTCCTGGTCCAGCTCCCATTTGTTCCCATCCGTCCTGTCACCTGGAGACACCCCTACTGCCCCACTTCTGATTTTGCCTTTTTCACGTCTCTTCTCCTATAACTCTGGCCTATAGCTCTCCTAACACTTCTTCAATTTCGGGCCCTGTTGATAATCTCTGTTCGGACTGACTCGAGAACTGTTTAGCTGAGATCGGGGAAGAGGCAGCTAGGTTCCAAGTCTGTCCTGTGTGAACACACTCCCAGATGGCTGAAGTACTTCCCTCCGGTGGAGGGGATGTCTGTTGCATTCACCCTGTTGCAGGTGGCTGGGAAAGTGAAGTATATTTAATTCACAAAGACAAAGAGAATGAGAAAATAAGTGAAGGAATACATTGAAAGGAGTAAAAAGGAGTGGGGGAGACTTAGGGCAGGACCACTAAACATAGCCTATGCTGGAGAAGACATAAACTGTTTTTTTAATTAATATCTTTAATTATTAAAAACATCAATGATGAGAGAGAATCATTGATCGGCTGCCTCCTGCACGCCCCCTACTGGGGATCAAGCCCGAAATCCGGGCATGTGCCCTGACCAGGGATCCAACCGTGACCTCCTGGTTCACAGGTTGACACTCAACCATTGAGCCACGCACATAAAGTGTTTTTTACAGCAATAAACAGCTGGGCTCATCTATTATGCTCATTCAGTCAATGACTGACTGAGTGGTCATCACAGGCCAGGTGTCCTCCTAGGCGCTGGGGTGCAGCAGAAATGGAGCCGGCAAACACCCCTCCCTTCATGAAGCTTGTGTTCTCTGAGATAATAATGCAATGTAAAGAAAAAGGAATCCGTTTACAATGTCTTTATAGTTACATATTTAGCAAAATACTCTATAAATCCTGTTGCAAGAAAGACATGGGAAAAGCCTGTGCTCATATATTACAGATGGCCAGGGGAACTTAATTAAGACTTTAAAAGGTCAATCTAGCAGTACAAAATAAGCACAACATTATCATTATATTCTTGGTCCATATTTTACACGTAGTAAAATATTGATTAAAATGAACCCATAAATCTGTTAAAATTAGAGTAAAATACAAAATATAAATTCTGTAGCAGAAGGAAAAAAAGTAGTAAAAATATAGAGCATCCTCTTGAAGTAACATCTTTTCTAGTTTTAAAATTTAAGAATAATTTTTTTAAGTATAAAGGAGGAGGATGTAACTATCAGCTTGCAGAAAGAAAAAGACAAATGTTCTTTTAGAGCCCTGGGCCTAATATTAAGTCAGCTTTGTAGCAATTTAGTTCAGTCACTAGACATCATTTCTCGTTCATCACTAGAAATGTTACTTAAACAACCTCTCAAATATTGATTCAGTTGACTCTGGAATAGAAAACAAATCCGAATCAACATCCAATTATTTGGTGTGATTGGGAGGAAATCCGTACTTGCTGGGAGGTGACAATGATTTGTTTTCATATGGGAATTTAAAAAATCTGAATTGTATTCTGCAGCTAGTAGAGAAGTATCTCCTAACCTGCTCAAGGCTTTTCACAAAACACCATTTTTTTTTGGTATGACCGAATACTCAGACAAGCCTTACTAGTAAATTAAGCCAGAGTTCTATAACAAAGGCATACTTCTAGGAATTTATCCTAAGACACTCCAATATGAAATAATTAAAGAGTTAACACTTACTGAGAGTTATCTTTCATACACCTGGTAAGTACTCTGCATGGATTATCTTTCAACCACACAACTTTATGATATAGGTCCTATTATTATTCCCATTTCATAGATGAGAAAACTAAGGTTAGAAGTTGCCTGAGATTAGGGTTGCAAGATTTAGCAAAAATACAGGATGCCTGCTATATTTGAATTTTGGACAAACAATAATACTTTAGTATAAGTATGTATGCTTATAGTACAAAATTATTCTTTATCTAAAATTCATATTTCAGGCTTGTATTTCATCTGGCAAGTGTAAAGCCAAACTAGCACAGTCCATACACCAGCTAACCAGCCCAACCTCAAAGACCCTGGGCTTAACCGCAACGCTCCTCAAAGGGCATTTTAGTGCCATTTGAGATCTGGGGAAAAGGCAGATTTTGATTTCTAAGTAGGTGCGCCAGGCGTGAAATCCAAGATTCGGAGTGTCGCCAGGTGAGGCCAAAGGGGCTGCGTGGGCGTCGCTCCCGGGGTGCCTTATTCCTCACTCCCCCAGCGACACAGGGGCTCCTGCACCGCCTCCTGGGTGCACTGCTAGCCTGAGACCTTTGCACTGCAACCAGCGTCCCGCAATTCTTTCATCATAAGTGACGCCGAGCATCCCTTCATGTTTACGGGTGTTTGCGCTTGACGAGGCTTTCTATCAGACCGGGAAACCCAAAGAGCGCCCCGGGCAGCCCTGGGCGCCGGGCCACGCGCGAGGCCTCGACAACGTCCTGGACCACGTTGGGGCCGCGGCGCCACCGGCGGGTGGTGACGTCACCCGCGCCGCGCGGGGGCGGGGCCTCCGTCTCGTCGCCTCGGCGCGCGCGCTCGCGGGAGTCGAGGCTGCGGCGCCGGCACTAGGCGAGCGCCCGAGGCCTGGGCGAGCCCGCGCCCACGACCGCGCTCGGCGCAGCGTTTTCTGCCGGCTGTCCCGCCCGCGGCGGCTCGTGCGGCGGGACCTGGGCTGTGGCGGGAGGGCGGGAAGATGCCACAGCCCGAGTCCCAGAAGGCCGGGATCTTGCGTTGCCGGCGCCGGGGTGAGTAGCGCGCGGCCGGCGGCGGCGTCAGACCCGGCGCGGCCACCGTCCCCTCAGCGCCTCCGGCGAGCGTTTCCGGCGCGCGGCCCCGCACGGGGGGCTCCAAGGGCTGCAGGCTGCGCCCGCGCTCTCTGCGGTACCTGAGCGGCGGGCCGGGCGTCCGTCGCGTGTGCAGCGTGTGAACACCCGAGCACGGTCCTTCCGGCGGGGGTGCTGACCGAAGAGACTCCGGAGACCTCGGCGCCCGCCCGAGTGACTTCCGGTGGGGCTGGTGCTCGGCGCTGGGGGGTGCGGGCCGCGCCGGGGTCACGGTCGCGGGGCCGGGGCTGCCCGGCGGAGCCCGCGCGGTGCGGAGGGATTGCGGAAAATTCCCAGCAGGAACCAGAGCGAATGGAATAACGCGCCCCCTCCCGAACCCAGCCCCGGGCAGCGTGCACATTTCCTTCAAAGTGTCCCAAAGAGAAGTTACTGTTGTGTTTGCCTCGTACAGCCGCTGGGTGCCCGTCAGAATTTAACCCGGCCCGCCCCCCGCCCCCGGCGCTGGGTGGACGAGCCTCTAGAGCAGCGGTTCTCAACCTGTGGGTCGCGACCCTTTTGGGAGTCCAGCGACCCTTTCACAGGAGTCGCCTAAGACCATCGGAACACACACATATAATTACATACTGTTTTGTGATTAATCGCTGTGCTCTAATTCTGTTCAATTTGTAGCAATGAGAATACATCCTGCATATCAGATATTTACATGACGATTCATAACAGTAGCAAAATTACAGTTATGAAGTAGCAACGAAAATAATTTTATGGTCGGGGGTCACCACAACATGAGGAACTGTATTAAAGGGTCGCAGCATTAGGGAGGTTGAGAACCACTGCCTAGAGGTTCCCTTTGCATTCCTTCCGCTGTGTGCCCAGCCGGCGGGTGGTTTGTGTCGCGGGGTGACCCGGTCTCAGTCGTGTGGGCGGAGGACTGTAGGGACGTGGAGACCCCGCACCCCGTTCCAGGAGGCTGCGCCCCTGAGGGGTGTTCACACTCAGGCCGGCCCGCTTGGTTTCTGCCATCTAATATTTGGCCCGGCCTTCTGCTGTGAAAACATCTGGTTGGTTTTCAAAATATAAAATTAAATCGTAACTTTGAATAGCTGTTTTATGGTCCCGTGCACCCACGAGATACGGTGGTGCTGCTCGCCTCCCCCAAATCACAGTTTTAGACCAGACTTTTCTTTCTTTTTTTCCTTTCAATTCTTCCCTTTTATCTAGAAATAGCGGATGTTGCGGTCTGCTCTGCTGCCGCTTTAGAAAAGCAGCAAGCAGACAACCTGCCGTCAATCGGTAGAAAATTGAGCTTCCTGAGGGAAATGTCATGGAAAAGCAGCCCACGCTTTTCACATCGTCTCTAGACAATTTCTGTGCTGTTCCTTGCAACATTTTAACTTCAAAAAAATATCTGTATATATAAAAGCCTAAGCAACAGAACGACTGGTCTACCAGCTGCTGTGATGCACACTGACCACCAGGTGGCAGATGCTCAATGCAGGAGCTGCCCCCTGGTGGTCAGTGTGTTCCCACAGAGGGAGTGCCACTCAGCTGACCAAGGGGCACCAGACACAGGGCTCATGGCTGGCTGCCGCAGCCTGGAGACCGCAGCGGAGTGGTAGTGAGCCTACCAAGTGGCAGTGGCGGCAGCAGGTGCAGCGGGGTGGGGATAAGCAGGAGCGGCAGGCAGCGGTTTCGGCCCGATCCCCGCAGGCTACGCCAAGGGACCACATTGGTGCACGAATCTGTGCACTGGGCCTCTAGTACATAACATATATGTCATTTTAACCACTGTAAGTGTACAATTTAGGCGCACTGAGTGCATGTACAACACTGTCACCATCACCACAGTCTGTTTCCAAGCTTTTCATCACCCCCAACAAACTAGCCACTAAGCAGTAACTCCCCAACTCCCTCTCCCCATTCTGCCCCACGTGCCTGTTCGGACACCTCAGAGAAGTGGAATCGTGCGGTATTTGCCCTTTCGTATCTGACTATTGATGTACAAGGCCCACCTGTGCTATTGCCCATGGAGACTTCATTCCTGGCCGCGGCTGAATGATACTCGGGTGCATAGCTGTATCACAATTCGTTTGTCCATTTGTCTGTTGATGGACACGGGTTGTTTCCACCTTTTGGCTCCTATGAGAAATGCTGCTGTGAATATATGTTTACAGGTGTGTTGGAGTCTCTGTTCTTTGGGGTAGGAATTGCTGGGTCATATGATAAAATTGTGTTTTAACATTTTTTTAATCCTCATCGGAGGATATGTTTAGAGAGAAAAAACATGGTTTGATCTAGAGCCGTGGAAGTCAGTGGAGAGGAGGGTCTGCACTTGTCAACTTGATGGGACTTGGACCCTCAGGGGAAGAGGGAGGCATCCGTCAGTGGCCTCCTGTTTTCTCCCGATGGGATGGAACCTGAAGCCTAGTGCTGTGCCCTGGCTGGGAAGCACACCTGCAGTACAGAAGCAGCACACAGCACCGGACAGGAGCATCAGCTGCGCTCTCCCCTCCTCCCCAGGGTTGTTTGTTGAACCTTTTGAAGAGCTACCAAACTCTTCACAGTTTGAAACTGCTTTCTTAAAGACCCTCGTGCCTTACTAATTGCCAAGTCTGATGACCCCCACCTTAACGCCCTCGGTTTGACCTCTCTAAATCCTGGGGACACCGCGCTGTTGGTTAGAGCACCCTCTCGAGGTTTTCCCACTTGGCGATGCTCCTCCTGCACACAAGAGGTTCCGTGCTTGTTCCCTATCCACTTTTGCTCTCTTCATTTCTTAAACCCTCCTCTGTCAGTGTAACAAACTATAATTTTGATGTTTATTTTTAACTTCTCTCTGAGGATTAGATTTGAATTTCAAACTATGGGCAATATCAGTATTCTCTTGAATGACAAAACAAAATACATCTGTTAATCCTCCCAAACCTGTTCTCTCTGTGCTTCCTGTCATTCAGACTTGAAAGCTGGTGTTGTTTCTATTCCCCCTCTCCCGTAGGGTCCCATGGCTAGTCAAGTTGACAAGTGCAGACAGCTCTGTCTCTGACCCTCCTCTCCGCTGACTTACACAGCTCTAGATCAAACCATGGTTGCCTCTTACTGGAATTTTTGTTATTGGACTCCCTGGTTCTAGATTTGTTTGTTTACATCTTAATTGCAATACTTTTTAGAGTTTGCTTTAGGATACACCCAAGTTTTTCATCTGATTTATTCTTTCTTTAGGATTTTTCGGTCTTAGAGAAAGTGAGATTACTGACCAGGGGGTATGAAGGTTTTTAAGGCTCTTGTGCCGTTGACAAATGTGCTTTTTAAAAAGGCCCAGCGGTTGCCCCAGCTGAGTGGCTCAGGTGGTTGCAGCATCATCCCGTACACCAAAAAGATGGTGGGTTCTATTCCCGGCCAGGGCACATACCCAGGTTGTGGGTTCAGTCCCTGTTCAGGGTGTGTATGTGAGGCAATGGATCGATGTTTCTCACACATCGATGTCTGTGTGTGTCTCTCTTACCTTGTCTCCGCAAAATCAATAAAAACATATCCTTGGGTGAGAGTTTAAAAACAAAAACAAAAAGTCCCTGCAATTTACATATAACTTCATCACTGATAAATGCATCATTTAACTACTTGTACTTCAACGAGTATTAAAAATGTTGCTGCTTGCCCTGACTGGTTTGGCTCAGTGGATAGAGCGTCGGCCTTCGGACTGAAGGGTCCCAGGTTCGATTCTGGTCAAGGGCATGTACCTTGGTTGCGGGCACATACCCAGTACGGCCTGTGCAGGAGGCAGCTGATCGATGTTTCTCTCTCATCGATGTTTCTAACTCTCTATCTCTCTCCCTTCCTCTCTGTAAAAAAATCAATAAAATATATAAAAAAAAATGTTGCTGCCTAGCCCGGCATGGCTCAGTGGTTGAAGCATCGACCTATGAACCAGGAGGTCACCGTTTGATTCCTGGTCAGGGCACATGCCCGGGTTGTGGGCTCGATCCCCAGTGGGAGGTGTGCAGGAGGCAGCTGATGAATGATCTGTCTCATCGATGTTTCTATCTCTCCCTCTCCCTTCTTCTCTGAAACCAATAAAAATATATGTTAAAAAGTAAAAAATAAAAACATTGCTAATTTAAGAGTTAGAAAATAATATTTTTATTTGCATGTCTTTACTAATTATTGAGACTGAAGATGTTTCCGTATGTATTCCCAAGCTTTATCCAAGTTCTTTCATTATTAATAATTTGATAAATGCCGTATGTAGATTTCCAGCTCCAGCAAAATAGAATATAACAGGCTTTCTCAGTTTGGCACTGTCGATACTTTGTGCCAAATAAATCTGTGTGGCTGAGGATGGTCTTGTGCATTGTAGGATGTTAAACAGCATTCCTGGCCTCTACCCATGAGATGCTGGTAGAATCCCTCCAGTTAGGACAATCAAAAACATCTAGACATTGCCAAAAGACCGTGGATATTGCCAAATTTCCCAGACATTGCCAAATATCTTGGCCCCTGGCTTAGAATCACTGGAGTAGAATAGGGAGAGTGGACTTGGCACTATGAGACGTGTACACTGGTACAATACATCCTTTTGACTACTCAGCATCTATACCAGCCGTGGGCAAACTACGGCCCGCGGGCCGGATCCGGCCCGTTTGAAATGAATAAAACTAAAAAAAAAAAAAGACCGTACCCTTTTATGTAATGATGTTTACTTTGAATTTATATTAGTTCACACAAACACTCCATCCATGCTTTTGTTCCGGCCCTCCGGTCCAGTTTAAGAACCCATTGTGGCCCTCGAGTCAAAAAGTTTGCCCACCCCTGTTCTAGGCCCTCTGAGCTGACAAGCAAGAAAATATATGTATCTAAAACTAACATGTTAAGCTAAATATTTTTATACTGATATCTTGAATTCTAACCCATTACTACATGGATCATTCTAATCTTGTTTATCTGTAACCTTCTACTCCAACACTTAG